GGACAGAAGGCAGATCAATGGTCACCAGGGCTTGGAGTGGAGAGTGACTACTAATGGGTTCATGGGTTTTTGTGGGCAGTGAGCAGCGTTGGGAAAACATAGTGGTGATAGTGATGCAATCATGTTATTAAACTGGGAAAAAAAAATAACCCTGAATTGTACACTTGGAAATGTTGGGTTTTATGATATATGAATCCTATCTCCATTAAGACGCAAAAGGATGGAGAGATGCCACAGGCCCCTGGTCAGCTTCCCCCACAGATAACATCCTGTGTACATGGTCAAAACCAGGACCTTGACATAGGTGCAAAGTCCAGACCTTCACACCCTCACTTGCACGCAGTGTGTGTGTGTGTGTACAGTTCCATGTGGTTTGATGCATGTGTGCACACACCTGGCTCCCACCGTATCGGTCCAGCCCAGACCCATCGCAGCAGAGGGCTCCCCATCCCTCCCTCTCCGCCGCTGACACTGCTCTCTGTCCCATGCTTCCTGACGTTTTACGAATGCTGTAAATATGGCCTCCTACGATGTGCAGTCTTGCTGAGGTGGTCTTTTCCTTTGCCTGCCTAGTGCCCTTGACCTCCTCCCAAGTTGTTAGGTATCTCAGTCGTTCGTTCCTTCGTGATGTGATGATTCAGTAAGTTGGAGCTGGTTCTGAGGACAGCCTGGCGTCTCCCTGTGGGTGACAGATCCTGTTAGGAAAAGCTGGACTGGAAAAGACCCTTAGCTTAGGAGCTAGAGAGAGACTTCCCTGATCATCCATGCCACGGACCCAGAACATTTCTTATTTGCATCATAGAGTTTAGGCCCCAAAAGAAACTGTGTCCCATTTTTTTAAAAAATATTTATTTATTTATTTGAAAGAGTTACACACAGAGAGAAGGAGAGGCAGAGAGAGAGAGAGGTCTTCCATCTGCTGGTTCACTCCCCAGTTGGCCACAGCAGCCGGACTGCACTGATCCAAAGCCAGGAACTTCTTCTGGGTCTTCCCACACGGGTGCAGGGGCCCAAGGACTTGGGCCATCTGCTACTGCTTTCCCAGGCCCTAGCAGAGAGCTGGATCAGAAGTGGAGCAGCCAGGACTCGAACCAGTGCCCATAAGGGATGTCGGCACTGCAGGCAGTGGCTTTACCCACTACAACGCAGTGCCAGTTCCTTGTGTCCCCATTAATAACCATTCTCCACTCCACCCCGTGGGCAGCCATCAGCCTACTTTCTGTGTCTAGGTTTGCCTGCCCTGGACATCTCTTATAAATGAGATCGTACTGTGTCTGGCTGCTTCCACTCTGTGTCGTGTGCTCCAGGTCCATCCATGCCGCAGCGTGCATCAGTGCTTCCCTCCTTTTATGGCTGAATGACACCTGTGGCACAGCCAGAGCACATTGGATCTGCCAGTCATCGGTTGCGTCCTGACCCCTGTCGGCTGTTAGGAACAATGCCGCTAGGCACATTCATAGGCAAGCCTTTTTTTTCCCCCTTCTTGGCGGTTGTACTAGTTTGCCCTCCCTTGGTGGCACTGAGTTGCTCAAACGTCTGATTCTGCCTTCCAGTCCAACTTGGCATTTGTAGGGCAAATGTGTAGCAGATGCTCCGCCACTTCAGTGCACACTTGATGCACTCGTTATCAGTCTGCTTTCGTTACTATAACAAAGCACCGGAGGCAGCCCGATCACATCAAGAAAAAGAGATCTATTTTGGCTTACAGTCTGGAGGCTCGAAATCCCACCATGATGATGCAGGTTCTGGCGAGAGTCCCCACAGGCTACATCTCATCATGGCAGGAGCAATGTCTGTCTGGCTCTCTCCTTTTTATTTTCTGTTTCCCAAGATGTATTTACTTATTTGAAAGGCAGAGTTATAGACAGAGAGAGGGAGAGACAAAAAGAGAGAAGAGAGGTCTTCCCTCCTCTGGTTCACTCACCAAATGACCGCAACAGCCGGAGCTGAGCCAATCTGAAGCCAAAAGCCAGGAGCTTTTTCCTGGTCTCCCATGTGGGTGCAGGGGCCCAAGCACTTGGACCATCTTCCACTGCTTTCCCAGGCCACAGCAGAGAGCTGGATTGGAAGTAGAGCAGCTGGGATTTGAACCAGTGCCCATATGGGATGCAGTCACTACTATGCCACAGCACTGGCCCCTGTCTCCTTATAAAGCCACCAGGACTGACTCATGGGGGCTCTGCCCCTACCACCTGATCCAGTCTAAACACCCCTCAAAGGCCTCTCCTCCCGTTCTTGCAATGTGATGGAGTGGCCGACCTCTGAGTAACCGTTAACATAGGACTTTGTGGCCGGGACTCCTGTGTGAGCTGAGAGGCCAAATATTCAAACCCTTCTTCTTCCGACCACCAGCACTGCTCTTTGTCCTCTGGATTTGCTTTTGTCGGTCCATGGAGTTGCTGCGCTGCTTCCTGATTCCCTGCAGGCCTGAGCTCCGGTGCCCACCAGAGCAGCTGGCTTGCTCGCACACCTGTCGCGAACTGCCTTCTGGCTCTCTGGCTGGTGCTTGCCGCACTGCCTAAATAAACTGCTTAATGCTGGCTCCTTGCCACGGGCTCTGCCTCGGGGGCAAGTCCAGACTGAGGCCGAATGAATGAATGAACTTGCGAAGACTCAGTCCGCCATCTTGAGCAGCCTTGGGCAGATCCCAGCCCTGCGGGAGCTCTGGTCTCTGGAACCGCAGCAGGGCCTGCTCCCAGCTTCAGAGAGAACCAGGGGTCTTTTTCAACCACCTGCGGTGGGGAGGGAGGGCACCGCCAGCGGCCGCTCTGCCTGCTGGCCTGGCACCTGGGGCTCGGCCCAGCATGCACCGGCCCCGCCCTCGGCCGCCTCCTGCCAGTCCTGCTCTCGGGGATTCTGTCTGTGGCCAGGAAACATCAGAAGCTCGGCTGCTAATGAGGCCCCGAGCCCCACACAGGTTAACGTTCTCTGACTTTGAACACCACAGCTCCCACTTAGGCTTCCTGCTGTTCCCCCCACTGACAGCGACGTGAAGGGAAATCCATTACAGCCCACCTCGGAGGGTCAGCGTCCTGTCAAGCAGCCACAGGGACCCATTTTCTGCGCCTGCGCAACCAGGGAAGGACACTCCCGCCCTGGATTCCATGCTGCCTTCGCCTCTCGACCCCTGGCAGCTGCCCAGAGCACTCCGAGTCCTTGCAGGGCAGGAGGCTTGGCGGACTTGCTGGAAGAAGTCAGAACCCCTGTGAACTCATCTCTCCCCCTTAACAGAAGCCGCCTCCTCCCTCCTGACGGGCGCTGTTGGCACCACAACAGACCTCCTTTGTCCTGGCCTGCAGCTGGGGCTTGAGCCTCTCCCTCCCATGCCCTGGGGGCCAGCACAACCCCAGCGGCGCCTTCCCTGGCTCCAGCTAGGAGCAGGTGCGGGAGTTGGTGGAGGTGTTCTCAGATGCAGGGCGAGGCTCCTCTTGCAGCAGTCACCACTGGGCCAGTGGCAGGGCTCAGCAGGTGCTCATGCTGCAGTCCCTGAGCAAGGACCCCGGACTCAGCCGCCTGCAGGGGCTGGGCGGGCACATACGGAGGGAAGTAAGGCACTAGGGAGTAGTGGGGACTGTGGCCCACTAGAGAGCCACCGCCCTAGCTCCAGGCTGTGGCACAGCAAGGGAGCTGCTGCTTGAGATGCCAGCATCCCAAATCCCAGTGCCTGCATTCCAGACCCAGCCCCACTCCATTCCAGCGTCTGCTCACAGCCTCCCAGAGTCAGCAGATGATGGCCCAGCACTTGGATCCCTGCCCTCCCAGCAGGGATCTGGATTGGATTCCTGGCTCCTGGCTTAGGCCAGGCATCTGGGGAATGAACCAGCAGTGGGAGATCTCTCCCTACCTCCTATCTCTGCCTTTCAAGTAAATAAGTAAAATAAATAAGAAGATGGCTGTTAGCAGGTGCATTTGGTCAATCCACTCCTTCAGTCATTTCTTCATCTTTCAAAGCTTCTGCTGTCCTTTGTGCATGGCCAGGGGACTGTGCTGAACCCTGAGGGTTCTGGGCTGAGTTCCACATGGGCAGCGCTTCCCTTTAGGGGCCTCATAGCTGAGTGGGGAGTGAGGGGTCAGCATGCAAATAGGTCATGTGGGTCAGAAAGGCACGTGAACATCGCAAGGTGCTGGGGGCAGCCAGAGTAACCGGGTCAGAGGAAGAGGTGACCGTGCCTGCTGCACCCTGTTGTAGCTGGATTTCCCAGGGCAGGAGGACTACTGCAAGGAAGCAGAGGCCCCACCAGTGCAAAGGCACGGCGATCGAGCTGGCGTGGACACACCTGGGGACAGCTGTCGGCTTTCCCGGCAGAGCACAGGGAGCTATCTGAAAAGGGAGGCAAGGAGCTGGCTTCCTCCTGATGTGGCTTGCTCCAAAGCGCGAATGACACAGACTGTGGTTGGTGGGAATGAGAAATGACACGGAGGCCCCCTGCCCGCTCTGCCCCTCTAGTCTTGAAGAGTGGCCTTGGCTGCCACTCATGGTGGTGGAAGGTGGGGCGGAAGCTGCAACCCGAGACCTGCAGACTTGGAAACCCTGAAAGGGAACAGAATAAATCCCAAGGCTCAGTGCCATGGCCCCGTTCCCACCGAACGCCGAACGCCTAAGCCAGTTTTCTTTCTTTGCTATTTTTAAATTTGAGAAAACTCGGCAGGGTTTCACAAAAGAAAAGCATATGCTGTGTCTGCCAGGTTAATCAGACAAACAGCCCAAGCAAGCAGTGGCTCTTGCCCGCCCTCTCCCCCCAACCCCCAACCTGCACCCCCACCCCCACCCTCAGCACATCCTCTGGCGGGCAGATCAGAGGGGCCCACATGTAGCTTAGCAGGGGGGCGGGGTCCAGGTGGGGGTGAGCTGAGACCCCACCTGTGCTGGGTGACAAAGGTGGCCTGGCGTCCTGCCCTGGCCCCCTCCTGCTTCCAGTCAGCCAAAGGGTCCCCGCCATTTTCCTCTGGGGAGCGGCTGGAATGTGCCTAACCACCGCCCTCTCTCGCTGGCCTTTCAGAGCGCAAAGGACGCCTCCCCGTGGGTGTGTCCCTTCCACCCACCGCTGCAGCTCTTTTTCGTCATCCGCAACACCAGACAGCTGAGCGACTTCGGGCTGGCGGAGATCAAGGTGTGGAATTACTGGACGGCGGACGACGTGAGTATCTGGCTCCAAGTCCTCTCTGCGCGCCAGGTGGGTGGAGGCGCTCAGTGGTCGGCCAACAGCCCAATTCCTCCAGTAGCACAGGGGGTCCGAAGAGGCCCTGCTGCCCCTTCCCACACATGCAGCCAGAGCACTGCTGGGCAGTTTCACCCTGGGTTTGTCAGAGCCCCCCAGGAACACAGCTGAGACTCAGTTATCCAGACAAGACACAGAGAGGCCAGTAAATGTCAGAGAACCTGAACCCATCAGTTGGACCCCAGGCCCAGTCTCTTAGTCATCACCTGTCACACGCGTAGCCACAGTGGCACCGCCGCCCAGGGTCTTGCTAAAATGCAGGTTCTCATTCAGCAGCAGCGTCGGTCGGGGCCCAGGATTCCGCGTCTTCCTAGCTCTCAGGCGCGCAATCCTCTGGTATGGGACCCCCCACTCTGCGCAGTGGGGCCTGGCCTCCGGCTGCCGTGCGCCCCCAAGGTCCAGACCCCACCCCGAGCCCTTCGAGCCTCACACCATCTTCCCTCCCCCGGCCCTCCCCCGCCCACCTCCACGCTGTGTGCATTTGTGTTGGCTCCTTGGTTTCGCGTGTATGAGTGAGCACGGACTAGGCGCCGTCGGGCTGCGTGAGAGATTCTGACGATGGTGTGCTCCGTGCCCTTGGAGGAACGCCTTGTCTCACAAGCTGAGCAGACAAGGAAATACAGAAATGTGGCGTGCAGATGGCACCCCGGGCTCCGCATGGCTCCACGCAGGATTTTTGGACCTGACTCTGGTTACAAAAGTGACAGACGTTCGGTACAATCCATACTTTGAAGTTTGAGTCTGGATCTTCTCCCCGGGCTAGTGACACGCAGTGCGTTCCTCTCTAGTGATGCTGGGTGGCAGTCAGCCCTGTGGTTGCGACAGGAAACAGCCGGCGCTCTCCAGCGCGTGGTGCCGCAGAACATGATGTGCTAGGTGAGGCGGACTCTGTGCGTCTGACTTGACAAGTTCAAGTTAGGATGGGTGTACCTGGAGTGTGACGAAGGACTCAATGAAAGGCAAAGTCAGCCCGTGACCCGGCAGGTAGCCAGCCCAGTGAGGGAGGCGGACGGGGACGCGCTCATCCTACCTGGTGTCCTCTCTCAACAATGGACACAAGGTCGAGAATTGCCATACTGCCCGGTCACCAATAGTAGGAGCTGACCCTCATCCTCAGTATTGTAACAGACAAGAGGGCGTGGTGGGGACTGTGGCACACTGGCAAGCCCATCCCCCGGGTAAAGAGAAAGCCACTTTTCATCTTCAAGGAATGGTTACTAGGTAGGGACATGGAGCCAGTGCTGCTATATCTGTTTGTGTTATTGTTCATTTTACCTAAAAACAGAGCCAGAGACCAGCAATGATCTCCCACCACTGGCTCACGCCTCAGATGCCCTCAGCAGCCAGGGCTGGGCCAGGCTGAAGCTGGGAGCTTGGAACTGGTTCCAGATCTCCCACAAGTGTGGCAGGGCCTCATCTACTTGAGCCATTACCTGCTGCCTCCTGGGTGTGCATCAGCAGGAAGCTGGATCAGAAGCAAAGGAGGGGCCGGTGCCGTGGCTCACTTGGTTAATCCTCCGCCTGCGGCACCGGCATCCCATATGGGCACCAGGTTCTGTCCTGGTTGCTCCTCTTCCAGTCCAGCTTTCTGCTGTGGCCCGGGAGGGCAGTGGAAGATGGCCCAAGTGCTTGGGCTCCTGTACCTGCATAGGAGACCAGGAAGAAGCTCCTGGCTCCTGGCTTCAGATCAGCTCGGTGCCAGCTGTAGTGGCCATTTGGGGAGTGAACCAGCTGAGGGAAGACCTTTCTCTCTTTCCTCTTTGTCTCTCTCTCTGTCTATAACTCTGCCTATCAAATAAATAAATAAATAAAAATTAAAAAAAAAAGAAGCAGAGGAGCTGGGACTCCCACCCAGGCACTCCAGGACGGGATACAGGCATCCCAACCGCATCCTAACCGCTCCTCGGCCAGATGCACACACACCCCCACCCCTGTCTTGTTAGCTTTGAAATACTCCCAGCAAGCGGAATATTTAATATTTTGATGTGAGCCTTCCTGTTTGTAAATATCAGTAGCTAATTTCAGTCATCTTTTTAAACCTCCTAAAGTTCCAAGAAAATTCATCTTCCAGTTTGCACTGGCCCTCCCCAGATTGCACGGAGCCAACTGCCTCTGACTGGAGGCAGTCAGGGAAGGTTCTAGAAGGAGCACATGCCTGAGCAGGAGTGCACCAAGACAGCAGCAGCCAGCTGAAGCAGAGAGAAGGGAGGCAGTGTAGCCCAGGTGGCGGGAACCGTGTGTGCAAAAGCAAGGAAGTGCGGAAGGAGAAGGCCGGCCCCGGGCCCAGCCTCCCCTCTCTCCAGCAGCTGCCAGGACGGCCTGACCCACTCCTCTGCTGCTTCCAACCCTCAGGGGCCCCCCTTGACCCAGGAGATGCAAGTCAAAGCCCTGAGGTTGCCATCAGAACCCCACCCCCACCCCCTGGCACCTCTCTCCTGCCCGTCCCCGCCTGCCCATGGCACCCTGAAGAATGCCAGCTGCCCCGCTGCTGTCGCCTGCCAGGCAGCCACACCTTTTATCCCAGGCCCCCCGGGGCTCAGAATGTGCTTCTCTGCCTCCTAGTCCTTGGAAACCCAGGCGTCACATCCCCCAGGAAGCTGGCCCTCGTGGCTAAGGGGCGTCCTCTCCTGCATCAGCACTTACACCTGTCTCCCTCACCGGGCTGTGCACACCTCGAAAGAGCAGGGTCGGAGTCATAAATAAAACCCGAAATAAGTGGTCAAGGAGTGAACGACAGAGCAGGTGCTCCCAGGAGCCCACGAGCAGTCGGGTCATCCTCTGACAGCCGGTGAGGGCCCGAGAGGATGCGAGCGGTCTGCGGCTTGCACGGGTCACCAGCAGGCTGGGGAGCTGGGCTGGGAGCCAGGCCTGCCGCCCTCCCTCCCTGCACTTCTCCCTCCCTGGCACTTCTGGCCATCTCCCTACTAACCGCATCCTGAGCCCCTGGCAACTGCTGGCCCCCGCAGCTCAGGAGCTGGCCGGCTCTGTTCACACATGAGGCTGCCCAGACGGGCAATGGGAAGCTTTCTCTGATCTCTGTCTTGGGTTTTCTGTTTGTTTGTTTGTTTTGGTAAGATTTATTTTATTTATTTGAAAGGCAGAGTTAACAGAGAGAGGGAGAGACCAAAAGATCTGCCATTTGCTAGTTCACTCTCCAAATGGCCGCAATGGCCATAGCTGGCCTGGGCTGAAGGCAGGAGCCAAGAAATCCATCCTGTAGGTGGCAGGAGCTAGATCGGAAGTGGAGCAGCCGGGACTGGTATGGGATACAGGTATCACAAGCAGTGGCTTAACCTGCTGTGCCACAGCGCTAGCCCCTTGAGTTTTTGTTTGTTTGCTTGTTTTGTTTTTAACAAGCATCTGAAGTTGGAATTTGAGGGAAAGAAGCCCAGGCTGCTGGCAGTTGCGAGGACGTCTTGGTGGGCACGGCAGCCCCCTCCCCCTCCCCTTCCCCCTCCAGGCTCTGGATGCAGCCCCCGCCAGGCCTCTGGGGTCATACGCTCCCTTCTCCTGCTCAGCACTTCCTGGCAGGGGCCCCAGCACCTTCTGGAAGGGGAGATGAAACGGTGCTGGCTGCCAAGCCCATGCCCTGTGGCCTGGCCCCTGCCACTGAACGCGTAGCTCAGATTCTGTGTGCCGGATTACAAAGCAGATAAGCCTCACCCCTTTTGACCAAGGCCTGCCTTTCTTCTTTAACCTCCGCTCAGCCTGCCTCGTGTGTGTAGAATACAAAACAGGAGCAAGGCCCGGAGTTTTACAGGCACCCAGGGCAGAGCCGCAGTGCACAGGGCGGGGAGGAATTGGCAGCTCCAGGACCGGAGCCCTAAGGCCCTGGGGCCCCCTCCGGGACTGGCTGCGGAGGACTGAAACCTGCCGGCCGCCCCGCCGCCTGTGTCACGCACAGCCATCTGTTGCCACAACCCAGCAGGGAGTGAAAAGCACAAACAAATGCAGCCACAGGTTGGCTGGCTCCAATATTCTCCAGAGAACGCTATCACTGCATGTTTTAGAGGAGATAAAACGAGAGTTTATGGGAGACTGGGCTCGGCCTCACAGACTCGGCTTGTTAATACGGCTTTTTTGTGCGTGGGAATCCAGGGATGCAAAGTTCTGTGTGAGAGCTCACCCTGCACAGGCTTATTTGGCCCAGAAGAGAGGGTGCTAGGAGAAGGGGGGTCTTGCCTGGGAAACGTGCCGCCGGCGAAGTCCTGAGGCTCCTCCCCACCTCTCTAGGCCACATGGGTGCCTGTGAGCTGGCCCCACGCAGAGGGGCTTGGGAGGGGAAGTGAGGACGTCCAGGCCACACTCTGTCTACCGCCGTGCGTGGAAGATGGCATGCAGCCACCTCCGCTTGTGACAGCTACCATTTGTTGAGCACTGCGGGAGTCAGGCAGGCGGCGGGGAGGCGGGAAGGAGGCTGGTCACTCAGCGGCTTTCAGCAAGTCCTCCGTGGGAGAAGCAACCACTAAACAAGAGGCGCTGGGGCTTGGAAGCCAGCGACCCTGCGTGGTGGCTGGATTGTGTCTCCTGCCACCTCTGATTGCCAGTGCTGCCTCAAGCGGGATCTGGAACCTTCCTTCTGGTTCGTCAAGGGTGCCGTGATGGATCGTGGCTCAGGAGGGGCATGTGATGACGGGTTTGTCCCCTCTTCTGATGTTCCCAGGTGAAGACCCCCCCCCCGCCCCGCCAGAGGGTGTAAGGGACAGGGCTGGGCGGGGACCCTGAGGCCTGTTGATTTTTTCTCAGCACCTGCTGGGAAGAGGGTTGCTACCATCCCACCAGTTTTCCTGTGTGACAGTCCTGTTGCAGCCATCTGCTGCAGTGACGACAGGCACACGGCTGGCATGGGCACCGGCCATGCCACCTCTTCCCAGGTTGTAACTGTGAGTGGGGCAGCCGAGAGGGGCCGGGCAGGACCG